CTGACCAAGAGTGAATTGAATTAGTCAGGTCTAGAACTTTTTAAACAAAAAAGGCATATCTGAATGCTTTTGTAGCCCGTGAGCAGGGGTGGAGTCATTTGATATGTAGTTGGAAACAGGCAGACCTGGTAATGGAACACATGTGGTTGTTGGTCAGCCATCTATTAGAACACCAGTGTTATGAAATATCTGGTTCAGCCTCAGACTGGAACCAGGGAGAGGGTTGCATTGATTGTTAGAGAGGGGAGCAAAGAAAATGGCTTTTTTTTTTACATTATTTTGGTCAACTGACACAGTGCATCAACTATGTTACGGTCAACAGAGAATTGGTAGACTGGCTCCCTTCTTTATCCATTTCTTGGTTCACTGCAACAGGTTTTTTTTTAAAGAGTTAACTTGCCAATTTACAGAGTTGCTTAACTAATTTAAGTAATATAAGTATAAAAGAAAAACACACATTACCAAGTTTTGTTGCAGGTTTTTAAAAAGAAAACAGTATTTATTATATTTAAGCACCTAATCCAAAACAAAATAAAAACATGCCAAGGAAAAGACCTTGTCTATTTACCCTATCCATGCCCGTCACGATTTTATAAACCTTGATAAGGTCACCCCTCAGCCTCCGATGCTCCAGGGAAAATAGCCCCAGTCTATTCAGCCTCTTCCTATAGCTGAAACCCAAACTATAACTCAAAATTTGGCAACATTCTTAGAAATCTTTTCTGAACACTTTCAAGTTTCACAACATTCTTCCTGTAGCAGGCAGATCAGAATTGCACACAGTAGTCAAATAGTGGCCTAACCAATGTCCTGTAGAGTCATAACATGACCTCCCAACTCCTATACTCAATGTACTGACCAATAACGACAAGCAAACCTAATGCCACTTTCACTATCTTGTCTACCTGTGATTCCACTTTCAAGGAACTGTGAACCTGCACTTCAAGGTCTCTTTGTTCAACAATACTCCCCAGGACCCCTTACCATTAAGTGAATAGGTCCTGCCCTGATTTGTCTTTCCAAATTGCAGCACCTCACATTTGTCTAAACTAAATTCCATCTACCACTTTTGGGCCCATTAGCCCATCTGATCAAGATCCCGTCGTACTTGGAGATAACCTTCTTTGCTGTTCATGACACTTCCAATTTTGGTGTCATCTGCAAACATAGTAACCGTACGTCCTATGTTCCCATCCAAATCATGTATAAAAATGACAAAGCAGTGGACCCAGCACTGATCCTTGTGGCACACCATTGGTGACAGGCCTGCAGTCTGAAAAGCAATCCTCCACCACCACCTGCCTTTTACCTTTGAGCCAGTTCTGTATCCAAATGGCTAGTTCTCCCTCTATTCCATGTGATCTAACTTTGCTAACCAGTCTTGTTGAATGCCTTACTGAAGTCCATATAAATCACGTCAGCCTCGTCAATCCTCTACTTCTTCAAAAAACTCAACCAAGTTCGTGAGACATAACGTCCCACGCTCAAAGCTATGTTGACTATCCCTAATCAGTCTTTGCCTTTCCAAATATATGTCTCTCAAACAACTTGCCCACCACTGATGTCATGCTCACCAGTCTATAGTTCCCTGGCTTTTCCTTCCCACCTTTCCTAAACAGTGGCACCATTTTAGCCAATCTAGTCTTCTGGCACCTCATCTGTGGCTATCGATGATACAAATATCTCAGCAAGGGGCCCAGCAATTACTTCCCTAACCCTCTGAGTTTTAGGGTACACCTGATCAGGTCTTGGGGTTTTAAGATGTCTAGCACCTCCTTCTTTGTAATATGGACGTTTTTCAAGATGTCGCCATTTATTTCTCCACGTTCTCTATCTTCTACATCCTTTCCCACAGTAAATACTGATGCAAAATACTCATATTTATTATCTCCCCTATCTCATGCAGTTCCACAAATAGGCGGGCTTGCTGATTTTTAAGGGGCCCTATTTTCTCATTAGTCACCCTTTTTGTACTTAATGTATTTGTACAATCCCTTTGGATTGTCCTTAACCTTATTTGCCAAAGCTATCTCATCTTGTTTTTGTCCTCATGATTTCCCTCTTAAGTATACTTCTATTGCCTTTATACTCTTCTGGGGATTCACTCAATCTCAGCTGTCTAGACCTGACACATGCTTCCTTCTTATTGTTGACCAACACCTCAACCTGTCTAGTCATCCAGCATTCCCTACACCTACCAGCTTTGTCCTTCACCCTAATGGGAACATAATGTCCCTGGACTCTCGTTACCTTATTTTTGACAGCTTCCCATTATCTGGCTGACCCTTTACCTGCGAATATCTGCCCCCAATCAACTTTTGAAAGTTCTTGCCTAATACTGTCAAAATTGGCCTTCCTCCAATTTAGGGCTTCAACTTATCGATCTGATCTGTCCTTTTCAATCACTGTTTTAAAACTGATAGAATTATCGTCACTGCCTCCAAAGTGCTCTCCCACTAATACTTCATCTCCTGCCCAGCCTTATATCCAAAGAGTACGTCAAGTTTTGCATCTTCTGTAGTAGGTACATCCACATACTGAATTAGAAAATTTTCTTGTACACACTTATCAAGTACCTCTATCAAAGCCCTTAACAATATGGCAGTCCCAATCTACGTTTGAAAAGTTAAAATCCCCTACCATAGCCACCCTATTATTCTTACAGATAACAGATCTTCTTACAAATTTGTGTTTCAGTTTCCCGCTATTGGGTGTCTATAGTACAATCCCAATAAAGTGATCATCTCTTCTTAATTCTCAGTTCCACCCAAATAACTTCCCTGGACGTATTCCCAGGAATGTCCTCCCCAAGAACAGCCATAATGTTGTTCCTAATCAAAAACGCCACTCTCCCTCCTCTCTTGTACCACCCCGTCTCCTCTCTTGTACCACCCCCAGTTTCTATCCTTCCTATAGCATCTACACCCTGGAACATTAAGCTGCCAGTCTCACCCATCCCTGAGCCACATCTCTGTAATTGCTGTGATATCCCAGTCCCATGTTCCCAACCATGCCCTGAGTTCCTCTGCCTTACCTGTCGGGCTCTTGTGTTGAAATAAATGCAGTTTAATTCATCAGTCCTATCTTATTCTCTGCTTTGTTCCTGCCTGCCCTGACTGTTTGACTTGCTCCTTTTCCCAACTGTACCAGTCTCAGACTGATCTCTTTCCTCACTTCCTCACTGGGCTCTCTTCCCTCCCACTTTGTAGTTTAAATCCTCTAGCAAATCTGCACCCCGCGCTCCCCCCCCCCCCCCACGCCCCCCACCCCAAGTATGTTAGTCACTTTCCAATTCAGGTGCAATCTGTCTTTATACAGGTCATTTCTACCCGATTTAAAGATTACAATGATGCAAAAATGTGAATCCTTCTCGCTTGCACCAGCTCCTCAGCCACATATTCATCTGCTCTATCCTTCTATTCCTATTCTCACTAGCTCGTGGCACTGGGAGTAATCCAGATATTACTAGCCTCAAGGACCTCCCTTTTAAATTCCAGCCTAACTTTCTGTACTCTCTCCTCAGAATCTCATCTTTTTCTCTTTCCGTGTTGTTAGTTCCAGTGTTTACAATGACTGACCTCCTGCTGGACCCTCTCACCTTTGAGAATATTCTGCACCCTCTCTGAGATATCCTTGATCCTGGCACAAGGAGGCAACACACCATTCTGATGCCTCATTGTCAGCCACAGAAACGTCTGTCTGTGCCTCTGACTACAGAGTTCCCTACCACAATCAATCGCTTGCAACCTGACATACCCCTAGTTGCAGTAGAGCTGGACTTGGTACCAGAAACCTGGCTGTCAGTGCTACATTTCCCAGAGAGTCCATCACCCCCTACATTTTCCAAAACGGCATACTTGTTTGAGACGGGGATAGCCAGAGGACACTCCTGTATGACCTTCCTTCCTCTCTTACCTTTCCTGGAGGTAACCCATCTACCTGGCAGTATCTGCCATCCATCACACCCCCTAGCTCCTGTAAATTCCTCCTAGTCTCTCACTGCTGCTCCAAACAATCTGTACTATCCAATAGAATTTGCAACCAAGCACACTTCCTGCAGACATAATTATCAGTAATGTGAAAACTCTCCTTAATCTCCCACATGCAACAGGAACAGCACATCACTCTACTAAAGGCCACCTTTGCATCTTAACAATCAATAGACCCAGAAAATTGGACAGTCTTACTGCTGTAAAAACACTGCTGTAGGCTAACTTAGTATCCATGTTTTTATATTTTTAAAGTTTAATCAAAAGACAGATCTCAATAGAATCATATCATAAGAGAACCCACTCTACACACTACTGTAGATTTACAAAAAAAACAGTAAGGGTATGCTTTAAAACTAGGCACTTTGCTCCCCTGCTGTGAGCTCCCCCACACAGGTTTCTCCAAAGTCAGCTGTGAATTTTGCTGTATGTTTATTTTTCTTAGATGAACTCCGATATCCAGAGTTGGTGGATAAATTGGAAATTCTGATTACTGGGGTGATAAGTATCTTTCAGCTAAAATAAATGAATGGAGTCAATCACTTCAGTAAAAACAAACTTTTTTACTTTATGCAGAGCTCAAATTTTCTTCCAAGTTTAATTTTTATAAAAATACTTGTTTAACAGGACAAGCGTTTGAAATATTAAGAATTACATTGTCATGACTGATTCTGTTCCTTCAATTCTAATTGCTTTGCCTGTTGAAATTTTAGGACTTTTTTGTGAATAATTGATTGCTGAGTGTGAGAATTCAAGCAAACTATTGATTTGAGAAGGTTTGAATTAATCGAGAGTGTGTGATAGAGAGCTTATACTGTCTCTAGAAATAGATGACAGCTGGTGGAGAAATACTATACTATAAACTAATGTTAATTATATTGATATAAACAGCATTCATTAAATAATTTGAACAACTTAATCTGTTTAAATTTAAAATCTATATTTCTGAATAAATAGTGGACTTATAATTTTTAATGCTGTATGTATTAAGAACAGATTTGATTCTTTCAGCTCCTTAAAAACTGAATCCAATCTTGAAGCCATGAAATCTATCCCGAGTGAAAAACTGATGATAGAAACTGGTAAGGTTTTTTTTTTTAATCTAGATTTACCCAAAATGTAAAGTTTGGGTAAAGGACAGACCAGCAATAGAAACACTAAATTTCTATTTGGAGAGCTTGATGCAAAAATAATTAGCTGATGTATTTGTTTGCAGAGGACCAATTTTATTGGTTTCACTAGATTGAAAAAATAAAAATGGTTCTAATGTACAGAGCTATAGTACATAATGGATCACTAGGGTGACAGTCTGCAGAGATAAGGAATATAGTTTGCTATTATACAGCTCTGCAGTGGAGTACAGGCCAGGAATTTCTGGACCATCCTCCACACCAGTAATCGTTTTAAACCAGACATTATATGATATTCCTGTAATTTCTGATTTAGACTGCTGAGATTTGGCATGTAATCCATCTGTACAGCTGAGCAGCAAGTATTTAATATTTTATACCAGCACAGTAAAATTTCAATAGCAAGCTGATTATGTTCATAATTTTTTACTTACAGTAATAGTTACAGCCAAGTTGTTACAAAATAAAATAATTATTTATTTGTTTTACAACTTTTAATCTGTGAATGTGCAGAAGACTGTTTCTTGCTTTGTTGAAGTTAAATTACTTTTAAATTATCCAGAGTGTTAATAGTTGCAAAATACCTTTTGTTTATATAGTTTAGACGCTTGGGCATTACCTCTAACAGTGCAATTTTCTCACCTGTATTCTCTATCTTCTGCATGTATTAATTTTTGAATGGGATGAGGGTCTATGACATTCACCTTTTAGTATTTAACCAAAGTAATTATTTCTTAATTGGTGAGCAGAGAAAGTCAGTCTCCGTATATTGTTCAACTGTTGGAGCATTGCAGCCCTGTCCTGTCCCAAGATCCACACCTGAACCTGCAGGGGGCACTGCTGAATATTTGTGAACAGGAGTTCAGCCATGTTTACTCTCTTATTACAACATTCTTCCAAGATGCTTCAGTTTTCCATCTTACTGATGCTCTTTGTGCTCGGTATGACTTTCAGTGCTGAGATAACTCCACAATGAAGAGAGAGAGAGGGTTTATAACTGAAATCTTCCTAGACTGTATGACTCAGCTATTTATCAAGTAGATCCATTGTGTCAGTTTTGTCCCTCTAATTTTCACTGCCTCCAGAGGCAGTTGGATATAAAACTCTGAATTTCAAGAGAAAGATGACAGAGCTATGTCACTACTAGCGAAGTATCTTTATCAATATGATGGGGTGGGGTGTCTTTGGGCTTGGGTGTAAAGTAGTTACAACTTTATAACAAACTGTGTTCTTATCCACATCACAATAGGAGTCATTAGAGATGGTCACTAGTGGAAGCCATGGCTGTATTTTTTTCTATTGTTGCTAGTTATGGAGTCTGATTTTGCTCAATTGATTCTTAAATCAAATCAGCCAACTAGTGGATTATGATGCTGACTAAATTGTACAGCTCAGTACCACACACATATGACTGACATATTGGTAAAAGTTGGATTTTAAATTTTTGGTGAATTTCATCAGTGATAGTATGTTGGTCTTTATTATAAGAAGTAGAAAAGTCTGAAGTCCTGAAAGAAAGTAGTCCTACAATTATATAGAGCTTTGGTGAGGCTACATCAGGTGTAGTTTACACAGATTTGGTCTGCTTAGTTAAGGAAAGACGTACTTGCTTTTGAGGGATCACTAAGATCATTCGTGGGATGAGAGGGTTGTCTGAGAAAAGATTGAGAAGAATGGGTCTGGCGTTTGGAACGGTAATCCCATTGAAATTGATAAATTTTCTGGACGGCCTGACAGGTTGATTCTGTGAGACTGCCAACCCTAGCTGGAGAGTCTTTAATTAAAAATCATAGTCTTAGGATATGTGTGAAGCCATTTAGGATTCAAATGATTGGATATTTCTTCACTTGGAGTTTAGTATTTTCTATCCTAAAAAGAACTATGGATGCTGAGCTGTTGAGTATATTCAAGACCAAAAGCGTTAGATTTTTTAAGCACTTAGGGAATTGAAGATTATGAGGATACAGGGAAAAGTGGAGATGGAAGATTAGCTATGATCCTTTTGAGTTGTGGGACAGTGTTAAGGGGCCAAATGGCTCACTCCAGTTCTTATTTCTTATGGACTTTCTCAGGTCAGGTATATTTGATGTAGTGCAGAGCTCTTTCAATTGAAACCCAACAATATGCCTCAATTCCAGCCATGAAAGGCTACATCCTTATGTCTGAATTAAAAGCAAAGTTGCCATTTGGTATTGATATTTCTTGCAAAGAAAGGTTAACCCTAGTTCCAGAAGTGAAAAGATGTTTTTGCTAATCTTTTAATTAAACTGTCCGGATAAGAAACAATTTCGATTTATTTTGTTGTAGCTTCAACTCTTCATTTCATTTTTTTGTTTACATTTGAAAAGATGCACCATGGTGTGGAGTAAAGAACACGCATGCTGGTGCTAAATTTGTGACAACCACCTTTCCAACAAAAAAGAAGTGGGAAGAGGGACACTGCCTCAAGGACAGGAATGAACCATGCCATATTGTGTGAGTATGAAAAAAAGTTCTCTCCTAGTTGATTCAAATTCTCAACCTGTTTTGTGCCTATTTATTTTGTTGAGCTTTCTCTCAAGATGGTTATTGCAAATGAAGTGCCATTAGCGACATAATTCCTTCCGTACTGGACCAAAGAGCATGCTTCAATAACCAGGCTATATTTTGACATTCACTAGCATCACTTTGATTCCTAATTAGGGAATATATCTAGTTTCTTTTTCTGTGGCTCTTTCTAGATAGAGTGCAATGCAATGTCCATAAGTTGGTAGATCTACGCACCAAAGAAAAATATTCCTGAAGCTCCCTTCACCGCACCAGTAGATTAAAATTATCTCTAATTTTTAAGGTATAGTCTTCTTCAGAAAGTCAGGTAAAAGGCTTCAAAATGAGGTCAAATGGTTAAAAAAACATTCTTTTGGCTGTGCATGTTGCATGTCAATTTTTGCGATTGAATTAGGGCAGCTATAATACAAGTCTTGTGGAAGTCTACTAATCTTTAGATGTCCTTATTACTTCCTCCAATAGTTTTTTTTTTAGCATTATTGTCCCTTTCATCTAAACCATGCATATTCAAACCTACCTGTTGAGTCTTTGCAGCTGCTACCACCAATGAAGTTGGTGCTGCCTGACCTCTGGCCTGTAACCTCATAGTTCAGCTCCAGGCCACACTAGATGTTCCTTCCCTTTCTTTATATGTTGCTCTGTTTATTATTGCATGCTCCTGTTTTGAGCCTTATCTCCCTCCCCACTATTCATGCAACTTCATGTACTAATCACTTACTCTATTCTCATTTATCCTGGACAGCCTCCTATTAGGCAAATGGAGTCCATCATTTGTCTGTTGAACAGATGTTTAATAGTTTAACTATTTCAGGCAGTTGAAGCAGCTATTTGAGTGGGATCGTTGTCATTAAGTCCTTCCAGGCAGCCCCAAGTGTTGAACAAGTGACAATCTTCTGAATCTCAAGCTGTATTAACAGTTTCTGCTAAAGGTCGGAAACTGATCAGATTGCTGTGTACTTAAGCTCTCTATAGGTAAATAGTGCTAAAGGAGTTTGTCTGTACTCAGGAATATTTTCCACAATTAGAGGATTAGTACAGTTTAGTAGTAATAAATATCTACAGTTAATAGTACAGAAGTCCATAAATGCTGTCCTCACCAATTGCAAGTTCTGATTCGGAGCAGGAGAAACTCCCTGCAAGTTTCCACTTTCCAATTTGTTATTTCAGAGAATCACCTCCTAGGAAAGAGAAGTAGTAAAGATCTGAACTCAAATCCCAGAGCTGATGGTACTTGCTTTCTGAAATTTGGATTTGACTTGTTCATAAAGATCTGTTCTAAACCAATAACCCCACCATCTTAATAACAAATTGTGTTTTTGTGAACAGGCCCTGCTGTAGACAAATGAGCATTTACCTTGAACTCTCCACTTGACCCTCCTGTACCTTTCCACTTCTATCTGAGCCTTTCCCCATATTTGCCATTGCTAATGTGTCCCTAACACAGTCCCTGCCATTATGCTTCCCAGCCACAACTTGCATCCAGCTTTCCTGTGTTCGCCTCTGCAAGTACTTTACACCAGGACTACAACTGTTCGGCTCACCACTTCTCATGGCTATCAAGGCTGGATAATAAGCTGAGCCAGAAATGCCCAAATTCTTAAAAAAAAATTAAAAGGAGATGCTTTCTTGGAATTGAGATTAAGAAACCACATTGGGCAATTTAGATTTGTCACTTTAGTAATCTTGTTTATTGCTTATATCATTATAATTAAAGAAGTTGGATGGCATGATTATAACCACGATACTCCCTTTTTAAATTTAAAATTTCAATTAACTTTGTTATAATAACATTGAGGGTTGCATACTGTTCTTGAAACATTTATTTAAAAGCCAAAATAATAAGTTAAGCATCATTACAAAATGCAGCAAAGCATTAGCAAAACAATGATGTGGTAAAAATGGTTCACAACATTTCACCCACTCAACAAATTTTATACTAAGGTTGATAGATGAATACTGAGCAATATTCATTTAGATAGGTTCAATCATTATAAAACCTCCAAATAGTCTGCTGTTAGTGAATACTACTATATATTTTTGTGTCTGTGTTTTCATGACTTCCACTCTTCTACAGTTTTCCTTCTAGGGACAGCATGGTAGCTCATTGGCTAGCACTGCTGCCTGACAGTGCCAGGGAACCAAGTTCAATTCCAGCCTCGGGCAACTGTTTATGTGGAATTTGCATTCTCCCTGTGTCTGCGTGGTTTCCCCCGGTGCTCCAGTTTACTCCCACAGTCCAAAGGTGTGCAGGTTAGGTGGAATGGCCATGCTAAATTGCCCATAATATCCAGGGATGTGCAGGCTAGGTAGATTAGCCATGGGAATTGCAGAGTTACAGGGATAGGATGGGATGCTCTTCGGACATCTGGTGTGGACTCAATGGGCCAAATGGTCTACTTCCACACTGTAGGGATTCTATTATTGTAATTGCTGTGCGTAGCCTGTTTGTTATGTGATTGCTGCATGTGTGCAGATCCTAAAGTAAACATTGTGTGCAGCATTTTGTTCAGTGAACAGTATGTTCTGGATTGCTGCACAGCAGCACAAATACACAGCTCAGTGGGATCATTTATTCTTCTGTCTGTGAGATCTGCTCAAATTGAGTTTGCAGACTAGTGAAGATGCTCTCCTTTGTGGAGAAGCATGCAGAAATTATACAAGAACAGGAACAGTAATAAGGTAGAGAAAGCTTGTGTCAATTAAACCCAAGGACAGAACTTGTAAATTTCAGTGTAACGAATGTTCAGTTTTATGACAATTCAGAACAAGATCATAAGATTTAGGAGCAGAATTAGGTAATTCAGCCTTTTGTGTCTGCTCCACTGTTTGATCACGGTTGATATGTTTCTCAACACAACACTCCTGCCTTCCCCCTGTAACCCTTGATCCCCTTACTAACCAAGAACCTATTGGTCTCTGTTTTAAATATACTGAATAAATTGGCCTCCACAGCCTTTTGCCAAAATAAGTTCCACAGATTAACCACCCTCTGGTTGAAGAAATTCCTCCTCATCTCAGTTCGAAAGGGTTGTCCCTTCACCTTGAAGCTGTGCCCTGAGTCAGGTCCTAGCCTTTCCTCTCTATGGAGACATCTTCTCAACGTTCAATCTGTCTAGGCCTCTCGGTATTCTGTAAGTTTCAAGAGATACCTCCTCATCCTCCTACATTGAGTAAAGACCCACAGTCCTCAATTGCTCCTCATATGACAAGTTGTATTTCCTGGGATTATTCTTATAAACCTCCTCTGGACCATCTCCAAGGCCAGCACATACTTCTCAGATATGGGGCTCAAAACTGCTCACAAATTTCCAAATGCAGTCTGACCACAGCCTTATACAGCCTCAGCCAGTACATCCCTACTCTTGTATTCTAGCCCTTTTGAAATGAATGCCCACATTGCATTTGCCTTCCTAACTGCCAACTGAACCTGTATGTTAGGGTTAAGAGAATCCTGAACTAGGACTCCTTGGTGCTTCAGATTTCCAAAGCTATTTCCATTTAGAAGATAGTCTACACCCCTATTCTTCCTACCAAAGTGCATAACACCATATTTTCCCACATCATATTCCATCTGCCACTTTGCCCACTCTCCTAGCCCTAAATCCTTCTGCAGCCTCCTTGCTTCCTTGCACCTATCTTTGTCGTCAGCAAACATTTGCATCACAGCTAGCTTTTCTGAAACACATTGCTGCAAAAACTAGGCAGTTTCTTATAGAATAATTTTGTTATGCAGGTAAAGACATCAAATTTGAATAGGTTTAGAAATACATAATTTACATTGTTAAGTCTCTAACTGCCTATTACATTCATCCCTAATAATTTTTTTCTTTAATAGACAAATATTGGAGATAATGGCTGCAGTGCGGGAAGAAGATACACGTGAGCTGAGCAACACTATGTACAATAATACTGTGAAGGTCTTCTTTCCTAATAGTTGATCAACAATCATATCATCCTGACCAATTGATTTTAAGTTTACACAACCTAAGAGGCAGCTGGCAATGGCATCCATTTCCAGGATGGTGCTACCTAGTTTTTGTTGTTGAATCCAATGCATGAGCTACTCTAGATTGATATGAATTTATCCCCACCACAGCTGTACGTGTTCTGTTAAAAATCAGTGAAATTGCTCATGTTGGTAACATTGGAAGATACTTTTGAAAAATTTTGATGGGATGGGAAAGCTGACTCCGTCTAATGCATGGATACCAACTTCCCTCCCCTATCTACCTGAACAGTTCAAAAGTGTAATTACACTGACAGAAGATTGACCAAGTACCTTAGTGGTATTTTTCAATCTGTAATACCTCAGTGTACAAAATCATTGTATTGTACTATTGTTATTTTATTATAATCCTGATTGTGACAGATGTATTATAGTAAACCTGTAACCAGAGATCAGTACTGAATTAAATTTTAAGTTCTTTCTATGCAAGGAACAAAAGGACATTAAGGACATGATATGGTCAACTTGTTTGGTTTGGAGCAAGATGAATGGCATAGCATTAATATGCAACTCTGTTTGATTGCTTTTAGAATATACTGAATATATCTATTTTATGATCTTGAGATATATTGTAAAACCTGATGATAACAAGATTGTCATTTAAGATTATATAGAGGAAGACATTATAGTTTTGTTCCAGTGCCCATTGAGACAAAAATATAAGTGGTGGAAGATATAGAACAATGTAGCTATCATGTACAAAATCTACATTCATGACCTGTCACTGGGATATAATTGCTGGAATCTTGATGTGTGAGAAGTATTACCCGATCAATATGAGAGTCATTTGTTTGAAAATAAAACTTATATTCAGTAGTGAAGCATTCTTTTGTGCTTATCTCATTGCATGCTCTTCATGTTCAAGGAAAATCTGCAATTACATTTTGAACAAGTTTGATATTATAGAAATATTATATAATTGCAAGTTCTATTCAATTTCTTTCAATGTTTCAACAATGTACTCATACATTGGATCAGATTTTGTTTCCTGCTGTTCTTTGCACTTTGAGATTTTGTACTGGAACTTACTACAACATCAGAATGAGATAAAGCCCTCCTTTAGAGGTCTAGGATCTACTTGAACAGAGCAAGAAATTCCTTAGCAAGTCAGATTGAAGAATCATTACAGAACAATATAGTCTTAACCAGGAAGTGTCAATTAGAATATTTAATTCAAATGTTAATCAAATACGAAAAGTCAAATCAAAAGGGGAAGGAAGATTGTTTTCAGAGAGAAAAGTAAAATAAACAAAAGTGCAGAGATAGTAAGAATTGCTGATGCTGGAGTCAGAGATAATATAGTGTGGAGCTGGAGGAACACAGCAGGCCAGGCAGCATCAGAGGAGCAGGAAAGCTGACATTTGGGGTCAGGGCCCTTCAGAAATTAAGGGTTCCAACCCAAAATGTCAACTTTCCTGCTCCTCTTAGACAAAAGTGCAAGTTTTTTTAATCTCAAACTTAAAATCTGAATGAATAAGGTGATACATTTGTTAATTTTCAATGCCAGAAGGATTGTTTGACAGAAATTGAGATTTATCATGCTATTAAAGGATGATGAGACTGTAATGGACAAGACCCAAAATTTACTAAAACAAAAGCAGAAATTGCTGGAAAAACTCAGCTGGTCTGGCAGCATCTGTGGAGAGAAAGTAGAATTAATGTTTCAGGTACAATGACCCTTCTTCAGAACATTTACTGATGTGTTTAGTGAGAATACATCAAACACTATGGGAACTGCACATCACTCTATATTTTTCATTAGTGAGATATCTGTTTCTGGAAGAGCCAGGAAATTTGGATGCCACCTTTTTTGGATTTTTGTATCTAACTGCACGTCATCACCAGCATTTGCTGTCCAACTTAAAATTTTAATAGTGGTAAACAATGCAAGCTATTAGCTGCATCACTTTCTCTGAAGCAAAATCTGACAATTAGTATAGTAATTTATTAGGCAAATACATCAACCAATTTAACAAGATCCTATGAATCAATGTTTTTACAGTTTGGGAGGGATAAAAAGGTGATCAAGAGTAACGAGTCTCCTAAAAACAACATAAGAAAACGGTGGATATGATTTTGTGTCCATGCTTACAGTGGATTAAAAGGATGGCATGCTAGACATATCAAGAGAAGTAATATTGAAAGTGGAATCTAAATTACTGCAATCAAAGTAACAGCAACATCTCACTCGGTAAGTATGATTTCCATTCCTGGCTTTTAAAGGAAGTAATGAAAACATTGTAGATGCTCTAAATTCATGTGTTCTTGAATTAAAATGTTGCTTTAGGTTGGTGAATTATATTTTTTGCTCTGCTACTTTTAAATAAGAGGGAAACTCTGGAGTTGTAGACTTGTCAGCTCAACAACAATTGCTGGGATATTACTAAAATCTATATTTAAGGATAGGATGAGTGAACATCTGACAAGATGTTCAGCTCATTAGTGAGGCAGCATGGATTTGTAGAAAGTTTGTTGTACCTGATGAATCAAATTGAAATTACTGTATAGAGGTGGATAGGAAAATGAGGAAAGTTTGAGTGTTATTTGTATTGACTTCTTAAAGGCACTTAAAGCTTCTTAGGAGACGTTTATTAGCCATAGAATTGTAAGCTAAGCATTCATGAGATTAGGGGACTGGCTGGATAGGAATGGGTATAAAGGGCAAATATTTAAATTGGCAGGATGGGTCTCATAATACTCCACAAAGATTTATGCTGAGGTATCAGTATTCATTTTATTTAATTTAATCAGAAGTCACACGACACCAGGTTATAGTCCAACAGGTTTATCTGAAATCACAAGCTTTCGGAGTGCTGTTCCTTTGTCAGGTGAAGCACTTCATCTGACGAAGGAGCAGAGCTTCGAAAGCTTGTGATTTCAAATAAATCTGTTGAACTATAACCTGCTGTCGTGTGACTTCTGACATTGTCCACCCCAGTCCAACATTGACACTTCCACATAATTTAATGACAATGATAGGGAAAAGAATATATCCATGCAGGTGGCAGTCAAAGCAGTGTAGTTAAATCATGAAAATGTGGCTAATAAATCATAAGAGGGAAAAACTGTGATTAAAAACGGCTTTCAGTACAGGCAATGAAGGTTCAATCTTCCTCCTGATCTCAGCCAAAGAATTACCTAAAATGACTTCCCACTGCTACATGATCATCTCGGTGTCCCTTACGATCTATCCTTGGTGACCTATTTCTCATTGATCATATAATAACAATGTTTCCACATGTAAGCTGACCACACCCAACTCTACCTCATTTCTTCATCCCTCCATTATTACCTAAATTGTCAGATTGATTGATTGATTGTCTAACATCTAGTACAAGAGGAGCAGGAATTCCCTTTAACTATCAGGATCATGGGAGCAAGCCTGCTCTGTCATTCTATATCATTGTAGCTGATAGTCTACTTCAATACCTTCTCCCCACTCCTCCATGACCCTTTATGCCAAAGGAAGAGAAAAGTATTTCTGAGACAGTAAACGTAACTCCAGGATTGCTTTCCTGGTGCCAAGGTCAAGGATGTCATGACGCAGCTGAAAGACAAACTCCTGGAAGAGTGTGAACAGTTAGAGATTATGGTCCAAATTGGTGCCAAAGTATAGGAAGGTAGGGGGATGAGGTTCTGAATGTAGATTTTAGGGAGTTAGGATGAAAACTGAAAAGCCAGATCGAGTGCGATAACTTCAGGATTACTCCCAGTGCCACATGTTCATGAGCAGAGATATAGGATTGACTTGATGAAACACATCAGTGGAGAATTGGTAAAGGAGGGAAGGGATCAGATTTCTGAAGCATTAGGATGGATTCTGTACAGGTGAAACAAGCTGGACATTGTAACAGTTTCAGGATGAAAATCCTCACCAGGATGTTTGCTAATGCTTTTGGAAAAAGTTTAAGATAGCTTGTGAGGGAATGGGAATCTGAGGGGTAGGTCAAATTGGGAAGCAAGTAGCAAAGTGACAAGTGAAATTAAGGAGGAGGGTCGAAAGAATGTAGGCATTAACCAAAATGAGAATGCAAAACAAAGTGCCACGTACCTGAACGTATGCTGCATTTGCAACAAGGTAGATGATTTAAAAGTACGGAGGTAAATGGGAGTTATTTAATTGCCATTACGAAACCAGGTTGTAGATGGCTAAGTGTGGGAACTAAATATTAAAAGATATTCAATACTTAGAAAAGAAATGCCAAAATGGTGGTGCTGTGTTAATGATAAGGAATCAATGCAATAGTAAAGAAGTATCTCAGATCAGAACACAATGTGAAATCTGGCTGAAACAAAGCAACAGCAAGGCACAGCAAACATTGGTAGTACAAAAATGAAATTCTACATATGCTGGAGAGCTGCAATTTTTAAAAAAAAGTGTTGGAGTCACTGGAGCATAGGAGGGTGAGAGGAAACCTGATAGAAGTTTTTAAAATAATGTGAAGTATATATAGAGTTAATGGTGGTTGTCTTTTTCCTAGGATGGGGGATTTCAAGACAAGGTGACACATTTTTAAGGTGAGAGGAGAGAGATTGTGAAAGAAGATGTAAGAAGCAAATTTTTTTTTAAAGAGGGTGGCTCACGTGTGGAATGAACTTCCTGAGGAAGTGGTGAATGCATTAACAATTACAATGTTTAAAAAACATTTTGATGGGTACATGAACAGGAAAAGTTTGGAGGGGGTATGGGCCAGGAGCAGACAGGTGGGACTAGTTTAGTTTGGGATTATGTTCAGCATGGACTGGTTGGACCAAAGGGTCTGTTTCTGTGCTATATGACTCTATGACTATGAAACGCAGATCTCACTGCATTTGTGGAGGGAGAAACACAAGTTGTTTACATACCACCAAAGTGTAGTGATAGTGTAGTATGTCGTATTAATCAAGAGATCAATGAAATATCTAACATGCGTAATACAATCATTAAGAATGGCTTAAATCTGCATATAGATTGGGTAAACCTACAAGTATTAATGCAGTAGATGAGTTTCTGGACTGTTAGAGATGATAGGATTGGTTTTGTAGAGCAGTAGGTTCGAGAATAAACTGGAGAACAG